GCCCGCCGCCCTCTCCCGCCTCGGCGCCGGAAGCCGTCGAGTTTCTTAAGAGACGCGCGCTCTAATTATGCGCGAGCACCGGCGCCCAGCGCGCACCGGTGGTATCCTTGGTCAGAGATTAGAGCGTATACATGACCAGTGGCGAGCTGTTTTTCGATCCTAGGACGTTTTGAGAGTCGGGGGCGACGACGGGGTGGTGTGCGTTATATGATGTTCCCCGTTTTCCCGGGGAAGAGACAAACATGTATACACCATGATCCCGTGTACACCAGGATCCGCTTTCCTGCGCGAGTGTCAGCGCGGGGCCGGGAAAATGCGTCGGCTGCACGAGCGATGCAGGAGTAAAGCTCTCCGCCAAAAGAAGGGGCGAGTGTTCCCTGGTGGTTGGAGGCCTTGTATCGCCCCTGCCTATTCCCCATGCTTCCTCCTTTCCCCCCTTCATTATCCTCCTCCGCCCTCTGCTTCTAGGCCTCCTAGATGTGGTCGGAGCAGATGCGGTCGGAGGATCGCGGAGCATCGCCAATTCATTGACGATGCGGCTCGATACGAAGCTCGATTTTCTCCACGCCGACGTCGCCGATGCGTCTCCAGCGTCACCGATGCATCGCCGATGCATCGCCGATGCGGCGCGATCCTCCGACCCCATCCACTCGGCCCCCATCTAGGAGGCCTCTACTGCTTCTGTCCTCCGTCGTCCTCCGTCGGAGGAGAAAAGGGTGAAGAGACGGGACGAGTGGGGAGCGTTCCCCAAACTGCGCGGTGAGCGCACTGTTCGGCGAGCAGAGTTTGCATGTGGGTCCAGAGAGGGGACGATTTGGGGACTCGGGGCGTATCCCGATCGCATCATATTTGACCGACTTTATCGGTGGAGAGTTCGGGTTTCGCATGTGACTCAACGTTTTGTCACCTGACTGCTTGAGAGTCTTGATTTTTCAGGGCCGGGGGCGACAGCGATGTTGTCCGCGCTAGATGCAATTTCTCCTTACCACGCAGCTTGCGATACGTTTCCGCAGCAGTGTCTCCCTCTCCAGACTGCTCTCCTTGTCACGTGGCATGACCTTGGTTCGCCTACTCGTGATTGTCCGGATGATCTCTCGATCATTGCCAACGTCTGTCGTCGTACGGTGGCGCACGGTCAAATTGCACGATCGAGTAGCAATCATCGTAATGATCATCAGTATTAGCGGCACAGCCGGAAATTTCGGTCACATTTTGCGAAAGATGGTTATGGCAGGTGTCGCGGTCGGGCAGAAATTTGTTTTTGATCGATGTGAAAGGAGAGTCACATTCGCGCGAGTACCTCTCGTGTCAGGCACACGCGGTCGGATTCGGGGCACGCTTTTGTTTCCTCGTTATTTTCCTATAGCCAACATCCATAGTAAGGATGCACTGAGTCATCAAGGCCACTCTTGCATCCCTGCTTCTTCCGCCCATCCTGAGCCAATGTTGACGTCCAGGGAGCTCTAAATTGCAAGGAGGACTTCCGAGGGTATTGCATCCTTACATCCGCATCCTTACTACGGATTTGACTGTAGTGCTCTCTATCTCCCTATCCTTCTCCCGCTTCTACCGCTTCTCTCCTCCTGCCTCTCCTCTTTGCTATTCTGCGGTGTTCCTGATTTTCCTGTCCCGCGAGCAGGTGGCGCGCCGGCTTTGGGCCGAGGAGGGGCAGGGACTCGATGGCCGCGCAGCGCTGCGCTGGGGGCAGGCACGGCTAAGGGTTGCAGAAGTGGGCGAAGCTTCCTCCTGCTGCCCTCCACATCCAGCCACCCAGCGCTCGACTAACGACTACGTAGGGACCAAGTGGTGCAGTTTCGCATTACCCCCTCTGGTGGGGGGCGTTCGTGAAGGAAGGTGCCCAGAGGAAATCCGACCCTGAAAGGTTCCGCATCTGATGAGGGCGGCGGTGATATCCGTGGCCAAGCCTTAACTGGTGCTCCATCGGCTTCCAGACCCTGGACTCTTTAGCCATCGGCTCCTCATCCGGGGCGCTCCAGAAATGGCCTCGCCTTCGAGGATCGAAGGAGCTGCTATCTCTTCCGCGGCGGAAGGTCGGCGGAAGTAAGCCAAGGCCGCCTCCGCCGGCGGAAGGCCGGCGGAAGGTGGCGGAAGTAAAAGTGCGCCCCCGAGAGATGAAAACGTGTTTGTGGATCCAGGGGTTCCGAAAGCGCCCAACTAAAGCCCTCGCCGTGTCACGTTGCGTTGCCGATTGAGGCTCAGCTGCTTGCAGCCACCCAGGAGGGAACAAAAACACACAGACACAATGAATCGACGATTCCCAGGAAAAGATGCGAAAATCTGGGAGGTGGGGGGGAAGACGAAGATCAACAACATGTGGGAAAATATGGTAAATCCTGTTATGTGTGTCTATTTCTTTGTGTGTCCCTGGGCCCCCTTAGCCACCTCTCATCGTGTTGCCTCCTGGTGAAGTCTGCCCCCGCGGGCACCACGGGCGGGGCCTGTGGGCTCTCCGAGCCTCGCGGGCGGCGCTGGCGAGGAGGTGTGCTCGGTCGCCGGTCTGCGTGAAGGTCGGCGCCGGCAGGGGAGCAGGCTCCGATGTGCTGTGCTGTGCGTGCACACCCTTTCTCTCTCTCTCTCTCTCTCTCTTCCTCCTCCTCCTCCTCCTCCTCCTCCTCCTCCTCCTCCTCCTCCTCCTGTCCTCCTCCTCCTCTCCTCCTCCTCCTCCTCCTTCTCCTCCTCCCTCCTCCTCCTCCTCCTCCTCCTCCTCCTCCTCCTCCTCCTCCTCCTCCTCCTCCTCCTCCTCCTCCTCCTCCTCCCCCTCTCCGTAGCCATTTTGGCTCAAGTCCGTAGCGGTTTGCTCAGGCTTGGTATTGGCAAGGGGGGTCAGCGGCCCCCGCAGTTTTGTGTCTCCACAGGTGCCTGCCCATGCAGGAGACATTTCTTTCACGTTTAGTACTCCGATACGCAAGCTCCCTGTCTCCTTCTTTGTTCATGAATGGACACCAGAAGCGCCGTCTCTCGCAGGCGAGCCCGTGGCTGTGCAAGCACTGGGCGGACGAGCGGACTGGGCAGCGCTGGTGGAACCGAGCAGACCTCAAGCAATGTCGTTCATGCGGCCAGGACAAAGGCGTGCGCTACTTCGGGCCCAAGTCCAATGGCTCAGGTGCACCTTCCATGTTGGTTGCTGCGGAGCGGCGCTCTGCTTCGGAGGCAAAGAAGCTCAGGAAGGCCGTCGAGGCGAAGGACCGTGAGCTCAAGTCGATGGTGGCCAAGCTCAAGGAGGCGCAGTCAGCCAACCCCCACTGGAGGAGGCTCTGGTGCTGCCATGGAGGTCGACGAGGGGGCCACTTCATCTGCGTCCTCGGACAAGGCTGCGCTCGAGCGGGCCACCAACGCCCTCAAGGCCATCGGCGACGTGCAGGACCGTGTCCTGCTCGACAGTAAGGCTGCCCTGCTCGCTGAGCAGGCCCGCTTGCGCGAGAAGACCCTGTCGGAGAAGCCATTCGGGGCGCAGTTGCACCAGCTCGCCCATCGGTGCACAACGCTCGAGAAGAAGAAGGAGCGGCAGCAGGCCATCGTCGTGCAGTTCGGCGTGGATGCAGCCAACCTCCAGGCCAATACTGCGGATGCTGAGCGCGCCCTTGCCGACACCTCGCGCGAGCTGGTCGAAGCTGAGGCGGCTAGGCGGGCAGCAGCCGCAATGGCACCTCATTCCGAGGCGGGGGTCTACTCCTTGCGGGCGACGATCCCTGCGCTGGACATGTCGGCGGCAGAGCGTGGCAATCTGCTCGGCGCGATTGGTGCGGGCCCTGCGCTTGCGGCGGCGATCCAGGACAGTTTCGACAGGCTGCGTCAGCTCGACAATGCAGCAGCGGCTCGAGCCAGAGCCCCGTCTGAGCCCCTTGCGCAGGCGCCTGCGGGCCAGCCAGCCATCAGCTGTGGATGTGGCGGTGCCGCCCGACGACGGCGACCTTGAGGACATCCACGCCTTCTACCGCGAGGCGTTCGGTCAAGAGCCCCCAGCTGCTGAAGCCGAGTTGCCCAGGTCAGCCGCCTCAGTGAGGCCGTCGGCAGCTGCGCCAAGCGCGCCAAGACTCAGCAGGATGTTGTTTACGCTTCTATTGTGGTGCTTGGCGGCGACCGCCGATGCCACGCCGCGGTGCCAGAACAGTGCCATCGTGCTGCGTGCGGCGAGCAAGTCGACTACGACGGCTTCGACGACTGGCGGCGCTTCGGCGGTGGCAGGCGCTGGTGGCTCTACGGCCGACGCGACCTCCTGCGCTCGCCTTGTGCTGCGGCTTCCCTGAGCAGTCGGGGGCCCGCTGCGGCCCTGGGCAGAGAAGCGAGGTCAGCGCCGGCGCATCGACCTCGATTTCATGATGCGGTGGCTGGAGATGGCCCACATGAGCCAGGGTTCCAGTTACCAGCTTACACGTCGCCGTGGTCTGGTTCGAGGGCGCCAGTGGCTTCGGCCCCCTCGTCCAAACCCTTTGTCCAACAAGGTGATCGATCTCATGTTGCTCGGTCTAGACAACGCCAGGCTGATGGCCAATATAAGTCGAAGCGGAGTCTGATCCGAGGTGTGGTTACAGCGAACACGCCCTCACACGGACAGCTCGCGGACTTGGTCGGCAGCCCTGGGGGTGGTGATGTGATTTCTGCGTCAAGAGCACCACGTGGCCGAGTCCAAGCTCGCGGATGTCCAAGCACGAGTGGCGAAGCGAGGCTACTCTGGTGTGTGGATCGATGCAGCTGTCACTGGACGTGGCGGTTCGAGTGGAGGCGTGGCTGTCCTTGCCCCACTTCGCGCGCGCGCATGTGCCCCCTCCCCCCCCGCTGCTCGACAGCTCAGTGATTTCCCCTGCCAGAGCAGGCGCTGCCCTGGTCAACTGGGGCAGGCCTGGTGGAATCGTGATGGTTTCAGTGTGCATGATTGTTGGCGCATGTCTCAACGAGTCTACTCTCGGCGTTGTCAGCGCCGTCACCTCGCATATGTATAGGCTTTCTGAGTTGAAGATGCCATGGGTTGTCGGTGGCGATTGGAACATGGAAGTTGGGCTTCTCGACCCTCGGTTCCAGGCTGTTGAGGGCCTGCGCTTATCGCCAGACGACCCCACGCGCATGCAGTCTCTCCCAAGCACGGCGCGAGGTGCTTTTTGGGGGGCAAAAGATTTGCTTCAATTCGCTGCCCCAGCCGTGGTCGACGTCGGCGCCGACCTCTTCCCGCATCGGCCTGTGCCCTCGCCCCTTCGCGTGGCACCTTCGAGCATGTGCTGCGGGATCCCCGATGAGCCCAAGCAGTTCCCTGTGGTGCCGAAGATTGGATGTGCGCGCTACCCCCCTGTGTTGGAGTGGCAACAGGTCCAGGCTCAGATGCGTTGTGCGAGATCAGATCAGGACCTAGCCAGCTGCTGGGATGCTACCCTGGCCTGTGTTGGAGCTGAATTATGTGATCGCAATGGTGTCATGGACCGTGATGGGCGCCGCAAATTCTTCGGACGCGCGGGCTCCTGCGCGTGGACACCGATGTCCCCGTTTGCTCCTGTTCAGCCGCAGCCTGCGCATGCGCGGCGTATTCTCGGGCGCTGGACTAGACGCGCCCGCTCTGCGCGTGCCAAATTTTGTCTTCTAGCCAGCGAAATGTAGACCCATCCAAGCGAGCATGGGCTGATGGCCTTGCCCGAGCAGTTCTACTTCCTCCAAGGGTTTGCTGCGAAGGTCCGCTCACGGACATGGGTCCTCGAGAATGCTTCAGCCGATGTCTGCGGTTTCCTGGCTGGCATCCCGCCCAGCGTCGCCCGCGAAGATGTCGAAGTGCAGGTTCAGCCGTTGCTTGACACGGTCGACCTTCGCCCGAAGGGGTTGCCATCGAGTCTAACAAGGAAAGCATGGGCTGCGCGGGTTCGGAAGGTTTTCTCTGACGGCATGAGGGCGGCGCATGAGTTCTCCTAGGCCCAGGAGCTGCGTGAGTTGGCCAACCTCACTGGGCGGCCCCAGCCTCTCCAGACGGCCGACGATTACATGGCGGAGAGGAAGGGGATCTGGAGCACGCATGACTGCAAGGGTGCGCAGCTGCCCAGCGGCGCCCAGCGATGGGAGCAGCTTCCTCCGATTGCCGTTGACACCCTGAAGCGGGCGATGAGGTCTTCCCCCACGAAGACGGCGCTCGGTCAACTCGGCCTCAATTCGCGGACGTTGCTCGCCCTGTCAGAGTACGGCCTGTCCACGATCGGTATGATGTTCGAGGCGTGTGGGCGCCTCCTTGCGTGGCCTGCGAGTCGCGTTGAGACTCGTCTCGTGAGGCTCCCGAAACCGCCAGGTGGCCACCGTTTCATTGCGCTGCTCAATTTCCCAGTCCGCTTGTTGGGGCGGGTGCGGAAGCAGGTTTCTCAGTCCTGGGAGCGTTCCCATCGGGGCTCGTCCTTTTGGGGACATGGGTCAGGGGCCAGTTCCTCGGGCGCGGCGTTTGACCATGATCTGGGGGCGGAGGTGGCTACGGCGTTGGGGGGTTATTATGCCAGCGTGTTTCTGGGCATGTTTAAGTGCTACGAGTGCATACTAGTAGCGAAGCTCCTTTCCGAGGCCAAGTTTGTAGGATACCCGTTTCGCATGCTCTGGATGATTTTTGCGTCCTACCGATGTCTTCGGGTCATCCAGGCCATGGGTCTGTCTCCCAGCAGGTCGTCTCGCACCGAGGCATTCTACCAGGCTGCAGGCACGCGAACGCCATGTTGCGAGTGCTCTTCACGCGGGTCATTGCTAAGATGCGCAGGATCTACGCGTGCATCCAGCCCAGGGTCCTCATGGACGACTCCAGCTTTCAATGGATGAGTAGACGTCTATGTGAGAGTGAGGTCCTGCTGGCCTCTGTGAGGCGGTACTGTGCTGAAGTGTACAAGCTCGGCCTCATTCTCCAGGCCGCCAAGAGTTGTTTTGTGGCTACTGCCGTGAGAGCTTTGCCGCAGCTGTCGCCGTCTGCGCGCATTGTGAGGCTCCGTAGCCACAAACAAATGAGGAACCTTGGCCACGAAATTTGTGTTCGGGTCGGCTTGTGAGGGCCCAAGAGAAGGTCCGCATAGACAAGCTCCTGAGACTGCGCGATAAGCTGACCGCGCTCCGTAAGGCTGCCACTCACAAGGTTTCCGCGATGTGGAGGACGGGCCCCATGCCCGCTGGTGCGCATGGGGCCAGGGTGTCTGGGCTGACTGATCCGCCCCTGGGGACCCTTCGGACCATGGCGGGAACCCTGGTGGGCGCGAAGCGTAACGGTTCGCTGACGACCTGGCCTGCTACCCAGCCCGACTCCTACGATGACCCCATATATGATGCGACCATCCCTATGCTGCAGCGTTTTGCGTCCTACATTTGGGACTCCAGGTTTTCCCTGGGCAGGCTTCAGAGAGCCTGGATGGATATTTTTGCCGAGGTCCAGGACCGCTCGGACTGGAAGTCGCGCCGTGGGCCAATCAGTGCAGTTTTGCTACGTCTCGCGCGAGTCAACTGGAGCACGGCCGCTGCCCACATCGTTGTTGACGACAGTGGGCGGCGCATCAACTTGCTCCTAGTCCCTCCGCTCGACCTGAAGACTTTGCTCCGCGAGGGCATGCAGAAGTGGCAGGCGCGAAAGATGCTGGGCCACCTACCTCGAGCGCATGGGTCGGAGCGCCTGTGGTTTCGTGGGCTGCGAGTTGTGTTTTTAGAATGCGCGACGGGAGTCGTCGCGCTGCTCTCCGCTGTCTGATAGACAACGCAATGTGGACGCAGGAGAGGAAACGCGCTGCTGGGTATTGTGACTCGCCGTTATGCACGCTTTGCAGTCAGCAGGTTGTTGGTTCCCTGGGACACCAGTTTTGCGAATGCGAGACGGTTTTGAATTGCCCTGGATCACAGGGTCAAGCTATCCATGGTGATGTTCTCGTGCGCAGGTCTGAGCTTCGGGGGCAGGGTCGTTTTGAAGAGGGCGTGCAAGTTTGGGATACCCTGGGCCTCCTGCACGGGCCCTCCTCCGACCCCGTGGCCCTCGACCCCGCCCCCGACGTGCCCCCTGCGCGCTTGGGGCGAGACCGAAGCGCCTTGGGGGCGCACCGTCTGCACCGACGGCTCGAGGCTGTGCAGCAGCAGCCCCGGACTTAGACGGCGTGGATGGTCGGTCGTGGGGCTGGGGCCCCGCGGGCTCCCTGTTCGCGCGCGGTGCGGGGGCCTCCCTGGTCGGTTGCAGTCTGTTCCTCGGGCCGGGCGGTTTGCGATCCATCAGGCGCTTCGAGTCGGCCCCCTCGATGTGCATGTCGTCTCTGACCTCCTGAGTGCCGCGCAGGAAGGGAAGGCGTGGAAGCCCCTCCAGGCCTGTAGTGGCTCAAGACACGCTAGCATCTGGGCGGGCACGTTTGCGCTTTATCCCCTCCCTGGGCCGAGGCCCTCCTTCGAGTGGACACCGTCGCACCTAAGCTGGACGGAAGTGGTTGCCTCTGGGACCGAGTCGGATGTGATGAAGTTTCTAGGGAACTTGTGGGCTGACTTCTTTGCCCGCCGTGGAGCTGAGTCGCATGCTGCGGCCAAGTCCCTTGAAAAAGTACAGTGAAGCGTCACTGCCTCGACTAAGCTCACGCTCGGCTTTCTGTCCAGGTTCGCCCAGTCGATCGCTGCGGCTGCTCAAGAGCTTTCGACCCCGTGCTCTGAGCTGTCCCAGGGGCCCCGCCCTGTGCCTCGGGATTTGTTTCTCGTGCTGTCGCAACACGAAGTGTTCTACTTCCCGTCGCTCAATGAGTGGCGGTGCCGAGCGTGCAGTCTCCTCGCTCGGACGCCCTCATCTTTGGCTCAAGTTGATGCCAGGCTCACGCAGAGTTTGTGGACCGTCGCAGTACCAGGCTTGGCAGGCGCAGGCTGCGTTCGCTTTGCGTGCTGAGCACGGCATTCCGATGTCTTCGGCCGCGGCGCCGAGTGCCCTGGAGGGCGCGGGCCGTGTCCTGGGGCTTGCGCCTCTCGCCCAGGCGCCGCTGGTCCAAATGCTCACCGACCGTTTCGTGTCCCTGGGCCACCAAATGGAGCAGGTTGGTCGAGTTGTTTTTGTTGTTGCAAATGTTGAAAACGAATGTGCGCGGCGTTGAGGTGAAAGCCACATTTTGAAAACCATCAGCCCTCCATATATGAAGCTGTTGTCACTGTTTAAGCTTCAGAGTCATAAGCGGCGAGGACGTCTCAGGCGAAACGCCTGGCCCGCCTCAAGAACGGGCTTTGGGGTGCGGCACGGAGGAGTTCTCTAGAAAGCGAAGGATTGGAGGAGGAGGCGGAGGAGGAGGAGGGGGAGGAGGAGGGGGAGGAGAAGGAAAAGGAGGAGGAGGAGGAGGAGGAGGAGGAGGGGGAGGACGAAAAGGAGGAGAAGGAGGAGGAGGAAAAGGAGGAGGAAGTGGAGGGGGAGGAAGAAGAGGAGGAGGAGGAGGAGAAGGACGAGGAGGAGGAGGAGGTGGAAGAGGAGGAGGCGGAGGTGGAGGAGGAGGGGGGAGAGGAAAACCTGTGGAAACCCAAGAGTCATCAACGATGTTGTAATCAACCCTCCCTCCAAGCTCCCTCTTCATAAGCCCCTACAACGATTCATTTACATTGAGGGAGCTGCCTCGGTGGAAGAGCAGTTAAAAGAATCTGAAGCGTGCCAAAACATTGTTCTCGGGATTTCAACGCAACGTCTCAACCTGACTGCTGCGTCTTGACAATCCAGAATCGTGCCAAAACGCCGTTTTGGGGACATCAGCACAGCGAATGAACATAACAGTTGCGCCCGCATAATTTTCAATCCTTCCCAAACACCATTTCTGGTGCGTTGACCATGGGAATCCGTGAAACTCTCGCGAATGGTTTAAACGAATGTGCGCGGCGCTAAGGCGAGAACCACATTTTGAAAACGACCCGCCCTCAATCCGTGCAACTCATGCACTTGTTTTAAACGAATGTGCGCGGTGCTAAGGCGAGAGCCACAAAAACGACCCGCCCTCAATCCGCGAAACTTAGTTGAAACGAGTGTGCGCGGCGCTAAGGCGAGAGCCACATTTTGAAAACCACCCGCCGTCAATCCGTGAAACTCTTGCAAATGTTTAAAACGAATGTGCGCGGCGCTACGGCGAGAGCCACATTTTGAAAACGGCCCTCCCTCAATCCGTGAAACTCTTGCAAAGGTTTCAAGGAATGTGCGCCGCGCTAAGGCGCGAGCCACATTTTGAAAGCGGCCGCCCTGCATCTTTGAAACTGCTGGCACCGCTTAAGCTTCAGAGTCATAAACTGTGAGGACGTCTCAGGCGAAACGCCCGGCCCGCCCTAAAAACTGGCCACGGGGTGCGACATGGAGGAGTTCTATAAGGAGAAGGAATGGAGGAGGAGGAGGAGGAGGAGGAGGCGGAAGAGGAGGAGGAGGAGGAGGAAGAGGAGCGGAGGAGGAGGAGGAGGAGGAGGAGGAGAGGAAAAGGAGGAATGAGGAGGAGGAGGAGGGAGGAGTAGGAGGAGGAGGAAGAGGAGGAGGAGGAGGAGGAGAAGAAGGAGCGAGGAGGAGGCGGAGCGAGTTAGGAGGCGGAGGAGTAGGAGGCGGAGGAGGAGGAGGAGGAGGAGGAGGAGGAGGACGAAGACAAGGAGGACGAGGCGGACACGGAGGGGGCATAGATATCCGCCGTCCCCGTGGGCCCCGCGGCTGCCCCGTGGGCGCCGCCCGGGCCCGGGGGGCGCAGGGCGGCGCGCTGCGCTTCTACCGCGGCCTGGGCCCCGCGCTGCTCCTGGCGCCGACGATGCGCTTCTGCGACACAGCGTCACCCTCCCCCCCGTCGAGCAGGGGCGGGCGTAGGAGGAGGGAGGAGGAGGAGGAGGAGGAGGAGGAGGAGGAGGAGGAGGAGGAGGGAGGAGGAGGAGGAAGGAGGAAGAGGGAAGAGAGAGGAGGAGGAGGAGGAGGAGGAGGAGGGGAGAGGGAGGAGGAGGAGGAGAGGAGGAGAGGAAGGAGCAGGAGGAGGAGGAGGAGGAGGCGGAGGAGGAGGAGGAGGAGGAGGAGGAGGCGAGGAGGGAGGGGAGGAGGAGGGCGGGCTTACTAGGAGGAGGAGGAGGAGGAGGAGGAGGAGGAGGAGGAAGAGGAGGGGGAGGAGAGGAGGAGGAGGCAGGAGATTCTTCAGAGGAAGAGAGAGGTGGGAGGAGGAGGAGGAGGAGGAGGAGGAGGAGGAGGAAGGAGGAGGGAGGAGGAGGAGGAGGAGGAGGAGGAGGAGGAGGAGGAGAGGAGGAGGAGGAGGGAGGAGGAGGGTGTCGTCACGAGGAGGATCGGCGACTACAAAGGGTGTGGTTACGCCAGGGTCCCAGACCCCCTCGCGTTGCGAAAGAAATCACGGCGGGAGGTTTTTCGCAGCGTTCGGCCTCTCAGGGCCCTTGCCGCGCCCCGGGTCGTCAAAAAACGACTCCAGATGAAAAACCTGTCCCAGGGAAGGGGCCCAGACATTTAGAGGTCGACGTTGCGGAGTAATCGCGACGTCGGGGGTCTGGGGTGTGGTTTGCATCACTAGCGCGACTCCAATAGAAAGCGACTTAGGGGTTTTCTGGCCGCGCCGTCGTCGGTTCACCTTCGGCAAAGAGGACTAACGGTTCGGGCGGCCGCGCCGTCGTCAGAATTCTCAACCCCTCCTGTTCGCTGCAATATCCCCACAGTTCCACAGGTGGCTGTCGTCAGTCTTTTGTGACCCTCTCTTAGTGGTTTGGGAGGTGTTTCCGTCAGTTTTGCGAACCCCCCCTCTTCTTCATGGTGAGTCCACGTCGTCGGTTCTGACGGTTTTTGGGTTTGCCGGGCCCTGGGCCGTCAAAAAACGATTCCAGATGAAAAGCCCGTCCCGGCGGAAGGGGTCCAGACACACTTGGGGGTCGACGCTGCGAAAAAATCACGACGTCGGGGGTCCGGGGTGTG